GAGCCGGACCCCGCAGCTGCAAGGGGACTGCTTTTGCTTTCCGCGTCTGACAGCTCAGGGCACGGCGGCTGGGGAGAGGACGGCACGTTTCCAGTGTGCAACTGGGAGAGTGCAGCCGCCCAGCCCGGTTGGGGCGGCCCATGGCAGCGGGGCGCTCCGGCTGAGCGCAGGTTAGCTAGGTCCGGGCTCTGCCTGCGCCCTCACGCACCCCGAGGTTTGCTGGGTTACCGCAGGAATTAAAATGCAGCTGACTGCTTACTTATTTTGGGGCTGCAGTGTTTTCTTAGCTTCAGGATACAACTCCTTTAGCAAGAGCATGGAGACGATAGGCAAGAAGCAGTACCAGGTTCAGCACGGGTCGTGCAGCTACACCTTCCTCCTGCCCGAGGCGGACAACTGCCGATCCTCTGCCTCCTACGTGTCCAACGCGGTGCAAAGGGATGCGCCTTTGGACTATGATGATTCAGTTCAAAGACTGCAACTACTTGAAAACATCATGGAAAACAACACTCAGTGGCTTATGAAGGTAGGATAATATAATTTCTGTTCTAAAAAATCTTGTTGACGGTATCTTCTTATCTATTTCATTGTGTCATCTTTGAAGTTTCTAAATTCACGAAATGCATTATCCAAACTAAATTTTGGAATTACCTTTCAATCAAAGAGTTGTTCTGAAGTCTGAGAACATAATTTTACTGACTAGAAAGAATGGAGAACTACACTGTTGTGCAGACCTCAGGCTTTAAAGTTTGTCATTACATTTCAGTTGCTTGGACAAATAATAGTAATTAGATACGCAGGCAGACTGGGAGCATGTCTGAATTTTCTGACATGAAAGAACCAGCTACTAACTTATAATTCACCGACAAGGGCTATTGTATCTCCCTTTAAAGAATACAGAATGTGCCTTTATCTGAGGTGTGTTTCAAAAATGTTATTTGAAACATGACTGCAAAACTTGCGTGCAAAGATTAACATATTAAGACCCATTGATAAAGACTTCTCATTCTAAGCAAAGACTCTGGGTCTGACTTGCAGTGACATTAGCCTAGTGAAGTGATAGAATTTCAAGAAAGTTCACTAGTGGATATCCTTCGCATCCTGTAACATTTCCACGCAAATATACAATATTCACAGGGAAAATATTCTGGAAAAGTTGTTGCAGATTCCACATAGCTTCCTTCAATGCAGCTCCATTGTAACTAAGGAAAAATTACACACTTACTGCCAAAGTGGCAACATCTGTAAAATTATACCCGAAACAACAGAAACAAATTTATACTACATAGGTTTTTATATTACTGCAGAATAAACGTCATCGCTGTTCTGCATTTTTATAGAAACTCATTTGATTCTACATGCTATTCAGTTCAACAGATTTTGGTTTAATAAACTTTTACTTCACTGGTACCTGAAAAAGTGTGACAGTATAGTTTAATTGCATAGTAAGTTTATGAGTCTTTATGTCTCATGCCAAGATGCCCATCTTCTGACAAATAAATATTTCAATGACTTAACTGAGCAGTTGACATAATTATCTCCAAATAGGTGTACAAGTGACGTCATAAGAAAGAAATATTTGTTGTGAACGAAGAGAATTCACAATTCTCCACAATGAGTAGCCACTTCTTACATGACTATAACATAATTTTTCATTCTCTCATCAGTTACAAAGTTACAAAGTTACAGAACTAGCAGAGATAATCCAAGTTACCTGCTGTTCAATTTGTGTGTGAGAAACAGAAGTCACACTTCAAAGCAGAAAGCAGTGTTTTCATCTACCTGAAAATGAACCTTGAAGCTTAAATCCAAAATGCATACACTTGAGGGCTGCAGTGTGGGCTCTAAATCTGTCTTTATGGGTTTAGGATGCTTAAGTTAGACACCCAAGTAATGTCAGTTCAGTAGCTTTTGGTTTTTTAATCTCACAGGCAAACATACTTCCCTCCAAATACTTACTTACCTTTCTACTTATTAATTTACAATGCTCACCATTGTAATGTTAAGATCAACATTAACAGATGTGCAATGCAGGATGAAAAACACACAAAGTAAAAGAGTCTAATCTACCCAGCTGCTAAGCAATTTCCTAACATAAATAGCAAAATCACACACAAGACTCCGGTGCTAAATGCCACTTAAGTAGGCAAACACAGTATTGTAAGTGGCATCAGGTAAACAGAAACCAGTAAGCAAATTCCAGCATCCTTATTTAGTAAAAACTGTGCTTTTTCCTGTGTGTCCCTGGGAAATCAGTTACAAGAGGACTAGGATAAGTATATCTAACCCATTCTTTGGGGGATCAAAAGGCAGATTCTGTTTTACAAGACAGAGAAATATTTATTTGAGCAAAGATTTCCATATAAAATGTTTTAGATTAGCCTGGTTTTTTTTTTCCCTAGCTGTTCCAGAGCTAAACATCCTGTAGAATAACTCCTGTTTGCTTTTTTCACTATTTTAACACCTGCTCTTTATGTCATCTGTTTTGTTCACAAAGCGATTCCAACAAAAGTAGCTTTTCCTCAGATTTGCTTTGTTAGAGACACCTGGTCTGCAAGTGAAGATGAAAAGCAAACAATAACCTTTGAAGTTGCTTACAGAGTTTACTTGCTGGTTTTCTGAGGTCGCTAATACACATTCCTAGGTTCTTATTTTAACTTAGCAAAATATAAGGCTAGATTAGTCAAGACATGGCAAAAAAAAAAAATACTGTTCACTTAGTTTTTATACTGTATTGAAAGTCTAATACAAGATTGATTTTAAGAATAACCTGACATTAACTTCTCAGCAATCGCACAAAAAACTGCTTTAGGTCTTGCTTTTTTGAAAAGTCATCTATGCTCATTTAAGAGGCAGCACCTGTTTTGTTTTGAAGTTGTTTAAAAAAAATACATTACGGACTTTTAGTGTGAATTACCCTTTAAACGTTGTTCCTGAAATACTGCGCATCCCAAAACATTTTTCCACTCCTCTCCGCCTCCTGCCTTTAATCCATCAACTAAAGGAAACATTCTGTTTCTGAATGAACGCGAAGCTGTATGAATGGAACAGCATGGGAAGTGTGTGCTTCATCTGGTTAATGGGCAAACGCAATGGGAAGCAAATGAGTTACGTAGGACCAGGTTCTTCTCTGATCCGCTCCTGCACAGAGAGCAGAAGAGTTTGTTCTACAATTGCTACAAATTGCTGCTTCATGAAAACACATTTTGTTTGGTCTGGACTGTATTAATGCCTTATGCCACTATTGTTAAGTACCCCACATAAAACAGGAGAATGTATTTTCAAAAGCAGATTATGTTTTAAGTGTTCAGATGACACACTAGAACAAACCACAATTCCACCTAATCCAGTGTTTAGCAGTAAGCTATGCTGTTGTAGAGCAAAGGCCAAAACCCTAGATCAACCCTGCAGCAATATTCCTGAAATGAACTTTCTCCTTT